GTGGCGGGTTCGATGGAATCCAGCCCGGGCCTGCCAAACAACAATGATGGCTGCAACCAAAAAATAGCTGGGCATTGTGGTGGGCGCCTATAATCCAGCTACTTAGGAGGTGGAGGCAGGAAAATCGCTTGAGCCCAGTAGTTGGAGGTTACTGTGAGCTATGATGCCACTGCACTCTACTTGGGGTAAGAAAGTGAAACTGTCTACAGAAAACAAACAAAACAAAACAAAAACAATGCTAGTAAGCCTAATAAATAATAAATTGCTAGCTACACCTATAAGACAATGTTAAAACTTTTGATGTTTCTAGAGTACAAAGACAGCCTCCCAAGAACCATGGGTCAGATAAGAATCTAGGGAGCTGCACTGTCTTCTCTAATAGCCATCACTCGTATGGCTACTTAAACCAGATAAAATTAAAAATTAAGTTCCCAAGGCCAGGCCCGGTGGCTCACACCTGTAATCCTAGCACTCTGGGAGGCGGAAAGGGGTGGATGGCCTGAGCTCAAGAGTTCCAGACCAGCCTGAGCAAGAGCGAGACCCGGTCTCTACAAATAGCCAGGCATTGTGGCAGGTGCCTGTGGCCACAGTTACTCAGGAGGCTGAAAGCAAGAGAATTTGCTTAAGCGCATGAGCCTGAGATTGCTTGCTGTGAGCTACAACGCTACAGCACTCTACTAAGGGCGACAAAGTGAGAGTCTGTCTCCAAAAAAAAAAAAAGAAAAGAAAGAAAAGTAAACAAATAAACAATAACATAGAAATTAAGTTCCTCAACATTTCAAGTCCTCCAAACCCACCCTGCAGGCAGCAGAAATACAGAACATTTTCGTCGTCTCAGAACAGTTCTACCCAACTGCACAATTCTGGAGAAGTGCGGGCAAACCGGAGGGACCAGAAAAGAGACCATAGGCTGGAGGTCCGCAGGCACGCAAATGCCACTTTCCATGCGCGCCAGCAAGTGTGGCGCTCAAAATGGCGCCCCCATCAGTCGTCTAAGTTTCAGTCCGGAGACCATAGCAGGCGGGGAAGACAACCCCCTTCCCCGTAACAGGAGGAGATGAGACCGTGGGGAGTCGGCCAGACCTCCGTTCAAATCCGAGCTCCCTTATTTACCAGCTGGGACGACCTTAGGGGCGTTTCTGAAGCTCATGGTTCAACTGATTCACCCGTAAAACAAGGACAACAGAAATATTTACATTGCAGAGTTGCTAGGGGTAAAAATTAACTTCTTCCGTTAACCTGAAAAGGATGCAAGTAATCGGCACCTGATGTGATAACAATTATTTGCAAATGAGGAGTCCGAAGCGAGGCTCCCGGGGGTTAGGTGCGGCGGCCGGGAGACCCCTGACCCCGGCGTGTAGCCACGTCAGGCCCGGCGGCAGCAAACTCAGCTCCTTGCGAGATCCCCTGCGGTTCCTGCCTTCCCCGCCTCCCGCCTCCCACCTCCAGCAACCCCGAAAGAACGCGGCTTCGAGCCGCTCAGTCCACTCGGTTGGGGGCCCCTGGGGAGCCCCAGCCTCGTCATTTCGCCGGGGTCCCAGCCCACTCGCAGCCCACTTTAGGCGTCCCTGGGCCCCGCATCCAGTGACCTAACCGGGGACGTTATCCCGAAACTAGAGGCCAAACTAGAGGCCTAGGGAGAAGCAAGCACCTTCCTCACCTGAAGTCAGAAGGAAGCAGCCCGGCTGGCCGGCTGGCCAGGTAGCCAGCCGAAGTTTCAGCAGCTACTTGAGAACAACTCGAAACGCGCGGACGCCAACTGCCCCTTCCGGAGCAGCTAGTCCACTGGGGCACAGACGTGGGCCCGGACTGCTCCCATTGGGCACAGCCCCAGCAGGTAACCAATAGCCTCACTTCTTCTTCCATAGGTCCCCGTGCGCTGAAACAGCGGTGCTCTCGTTGGCTCTTCAACTGAGTAGGCGGGACCACGTACAAGGAGGCCTCATGCAATTGGTAGAAATCATGACTGTCACCATACGCCCAGCCCCCAAAGAGCAGATCCGGAGAATATTTTTAGCGCTCTTTATTTGAACTTTCCGCGGGAGGAAGTCATAAGATGTGTTGTACCATTTTGGAATGGAGACGAAAATAATACAACTAGGCTGGTCCTGTGGCTTACTCCTGTTAATCCTAGTACTCTGTGAGGCCGGAGTGGGTGGATCACTTGAGCTCAGGAGTTCAAGACTGGCTTGAGCAAGAGACCCGGGTCTCTACTAAAAATAGAAAAACTAGTGGGGCGTGGTGGCTCACGCCAGTAGTCCCAGCTGCGCTGGAGGTTGAGGTTGCTGTGAGCTATGACGTCATGCACTCCAGCCTGGGGCAATAGAATTAGTCTGTCTTAGAAAGAAAAGAAAATACTAAAACTGCGATTCCTGCTGCTTCTCCTTTCTGCTTATACAGTGAAGGATTTATATTTATCCAAACGATAGTAGCTAATCGAATATTTTGAAAATACCGTATTTCCCCCAGAATTCCTGTAAAGAGGTGTGGAACAATCCAGTTCATATGTATCTCAGGGGGTTGAGGAGCTCTGGCAAAAGAATTTGCCCATGTGATCTCTTTCTTCAATATCAAACCACTGCATTAAATCGCTTTATACTAAGCAATCGTCGCATGACTTAACTGCAAACATTTTTGAAGTATCTTGCTGAAAGACGAAATTTTGCTTTTAGGAGGAAGACCTAAAAATAACCTCTATGTAATTAGACTGCCCATTGCCTAAATTTTATTAACTCGGTGGCCAGTTTTTAGCGAAATTAGTATCAGGAGAGCATAAATAATTGAAAGTCAGAGAAAGCTGTGACTACAGAGAATGGTCAAAAATATACTTTGAAGATGGACAAAGAGGGACATAGGCCAGGAATGTGGATAGCTTCTAAAATCTGGGAATGGCAAGGCAAAGAATTCTCCGTAGAACCTTCTAGAAAGGAATTTTGTCCTGCTCAGTGAGACCTGTGTCAGACCTCTAACTTATGAAACTGTAAGATTCACAAGAATACACTTGTGTTCTTTTAAGCCATTCAAAAAAATAGCTGAAGGCCAGGCACAGTGGCTAACACCTGTAATCCTAGCACTCTGGGAGGCCCAGACGGGTGGATTGCCTGAGCTCACTGTTTGAGACCAGCCTGAGCAAGAGCAAGACCTCAGCCCCACATTGTGATGTGTGCCTGCAATCCCAGCTCCCGAGGCAGAAACCAGAGGATGCCTTAAGCCCAAGAGTTTGAGGTCGCTGTGAGCTATGACTCCACAGCACTCTACCAAGGGTGACAAAGTGAGACTCTGTCTCAAAAAAAAAAAATAATGACCTTTTTTGAATGGATTTTATTAGACTTGTGCTTAACCTCATAGCTACTTTTCCAGTCTCTCCCTCATTTCCTACACACCTCATTTCTTTTCTTTTCTTTTTTTTTGAGATGGAGCCTCAAGCTATCCTCCTGGGTAGAGTGCCATGGCATCACGCTCACAGCAACCTCCAACTCCTGGGCTCAAGTGAGTCTCCTGCCTCAGCCTCCCAAGTAGCTGG